AAATAAATATTAACCTATTAAATAGACAATTAAAACTAATAAAATAATCTATAAACTATGTAAAAATATTAAGAAAAATATAAAATATAATATAGACCTAAAAATAAATATATAATAGATTTATATAAAATAATGCATATATGTTATAGCATCTTATTAATTAGCTAATAAAATCACAAATATAGTTATAACCAAATTTATATTATATTTTCATACTTGTATTTTTTCTACTGATTGTTCTAAAAATTATATTTTAAGTAAAGCTAAAAGAGTAAAAGATCTTCAAGTTCAATAGGTTAACTCTAATACTTCTGCAAAGATGACTATACAGTTCACTCAACTTTACTATTTACTGAAAAGTTTTTTTTATTCATATATCCAGTACCATAAAGCCACTGCAGAGCCTCTTTGTTAAGATTCAAAGTAACAAATTGATGGCTTAAGTAGTAAAGGGAAATATTGAGAAGAAGATGACATATCTCTTAAATAGAAATATTATGCTTTGCAATAATATAATGCAATAATTTTTAAAATATGCCAAGTGATGAATCATTAGGTCTACTATTATTAAGAATCTAATTTAATATATCTAAGAAAGCAGCAGACCATGGTTCTGATTTACTTGTGTATTTTAATATGTATTGAATTAATATAATAATTATTCCTTGCTATTATAAGCTTAGATTGACTATTATTGTTACATAAGTATATACTTTCTGTTGTTTCTTTTGAATATCCAAACCTGCAATTTTGTTGTTCTGTAGAGTTTATACAAAAACAATATGAAAGACTGCAATGTGTATGTTATTGCAGCTTGTTAACTAACTCTATGTAATTCTGTAGGTCATTATACATTTTATTAGGACATTTTTGGCAAGAATGATAATTAGGTATAGGTGTGTTAAGCCCAAGATTAATCGTAGTAACCAATGAATCTAAATATTGCATCACATTACTTATTGTCTTCTCATTCTCTTTCATTTTTTTCTATTCAATAATTGGTGCATATTGTATTTTCTCAATACTATGTACATAAGTGCTGTCATGATGTTGCCACTCAAACCTATATCATCAGTCTACAAGTTTTCATTTAGAAATTACCACTTTTTTCTAGAAATAATTTAAAGCATTTTTAGAAAAACTATGCAGCAATATATAGATTGTTGATTAAGTCTTGGCATCTTTGTTTGCTCTTATCTAGTTCTGTTATCAGGTTTTTACCATATAGCATAAGCTTTTAAAGTTTTGGCCAATGTAGATTAGCAGTGCTAAAAGTAAAAAAAACTATTCCTTAAGATCCTAACTGTCTGATCATATCTGTAAGTTTAGACTGCCTCTTGTTTTAAAACTGCTAAGTTTTATACAAACTCTCATTAAATCATATGATCTTATCTGCTATATAATTATTATTATTTGCCATCTTTTAAACATTTTCAACATTAAGCTGCTTTCTATTTAAGCTTTGTTTGATATATATTTTTTCCTTTTGAAGTGCTCTTCATCACATCTGCAAATTTAGCACAAAGTACCTTTACAAGCATGTTGTGCAAATCTTTTATCTTTGTATTTTAGTAGATGTAAGAAATATTTAGCTGGCTTAATTTTTCTTACATGTTCCGACTAAGATTGCTATCTCTAATTAGATACAAAGTTGAAAATATATGTGCAATATACTCAGAAGTTTGAAACTTATTAATAGAATTTCTACCTATATTTAGCCACATAATAGGATGGTTATTAGTTTGCATTCAACTAAGAGTATCAGCAATAGCACTTTCTTCATTAGAAGACAGAAAAGGTGCAAAAATAAAGTTGCTAGTTATTATGTCTTCGTCTTTATCATTATTATCAAAATATTCATTTTTTACATCTTCAAGTTAAGAAAGCTAATCATCAATAGGACCTTTGTTAGATAAAGATCATAATATTTTATTGTTAATGATAATATTAGCATAATAACAGTTGTTTGATTTTAACCAATAAAGTGCACAAATAACTTTAACATGACAGATATTGAAATCTCTGAACACTAAACTATTTGCAGATTAATGACATACAACAAGAATATCTAATAATAATGAATGTCAAGAAAGTTGAGTTGTAAACTCTGATATATCTTGTAAAAAGTTGATAACATTGCCATGGTATGCATACTGACTCTCATAAAGATGATACACAAAAACAACAAAAAAAATTTGCACAATTAAAATCTTCTTTATTTTAGTAAGCTCTTGTAATTATTCAGATATATTACTTAGGTTTATATTGTTTTCTTTAATACTTTTTTTATCGCATTCTTATTATAATAGCAATGATGGCAGCATTCTTTCTTTATGAGCTCAATAAATAGAAAGTGCTCATTACATATAAAACAAAGTGTATTAGTAAGTTTATTAATTTTTGTGTGAAAATTTTATAATAGATTTTGGTCAGATTTGGCAAGAACAGAAAGTAGTTCTATATAAGATATATTAATATTTTGGTTTGAGACTTCATTTTAGTGATTAAGATGTTTATTAATACTTTTTAAAGCACACTTTGTTCTTTTTTGTCATTTTTATTCATAGTCTCTTCTGAGACACATCTTATACTTTTCTACAGTTTCTTTTTCTCTTTTTTTATATTTGTTTTCTCGATCATTAGCACAACACTTTACATTTTGATTAGGAGTTTTATTTTCTCTGTTAATACATTTTTGAAGTGTATCTTAATATAGTAGAACTTGTTGAATATTTATTTTATATATATATATTTTTTTTTATTGTATTTTTTTAAGTGATTGATTAATACTAATAATTTTTTTAAGCAATTTATTGCAATATTTTTTAGTGATTTATCAATGGCATTTGATGTTAAAAGTTAGAATAAGATGTAATATAGTAAACAGAATCATGCTTGATTTTAATTATCAATATTAAAAATTGGATATTATATGATAAAATCTGATAATTTTCTTTTTTTTTTTATTGCAAATGATTTTATAATTGTTTGTATTAGAATTAAACTTAATTTAAAATATCAACTACATTTATTTTATATATTTTTTAATATGACTAAGTTTTATTATAATAAACATCCTTATTAACAAAAAACTCAAATATGTAATACTGTAATATTTTAATTTTAATAAATTGAAATTTATTATTATAAAATCTTTAAATTCATAAAGCTGTACAAAATTATTTATTTTTCTCATGAAGTTTAAAAGAAACATACCAACCCACTCTTAAAAACTATCTGGAAATTTTACAGCTGTTCTTATAAATTTTGAATAAATTGATCAGATGTTTATTTGATAATTCGTTAAGTTTTTTAATTCAGCAGTGATAAACCTTGATTTGAAACATAATTAATATATATATAACAATATATTATAGCAATAGTATTTTGAATAATATTATATTTAAAACTAAATTTTTACTTGAATTCATGTTCCACATATTTGATGTATTTTGTTTATGAAATTTATAATAAAGATTGCTTTTGCTAACTAATAAATCTTAACAAAAGACATAAAAAAAGATTTCAAGTATAAGCTTTTACAATAAATATTTTATGCAAATAGGCACTAATAAAAACTGTTAGACATAAACAAGAATTTATTAACTGGATTAAAAAAAAAATACAACACAAATTATAATTCCAAACAACTATACTTTTATTAATATTTGTCAAAACTATATTGTAGAGATAATAATAAAAAAAAAAACAGCTTTTAATTGTTTTTTTACTAACTTAAATCAGGTGATAATTAAAGCCTGAATAGTTAAATATTTTAAAACAATCATAATCAATCTTTTTTTAATTATATAAAAAACATTTTATAAAATATTTTTTTTAATTAGAAACTTCACTTATATTTATCTAACTGCTACTTAATCTAAATCAGATGAGGTAACTTCTAAAATGTTATATTACTGGCAGAATATAATTATAAAGATTGTTAGTATTAAATTTTAAAATATTAAAATCTAAATTTACTTCTTAGCTGATATTTTTTTAGTATTTCATACTTATACAATAACTCTACTTGTTAGGATTTAGAACAAATTAATAATATATATAGCTGGTAATAGTAATAAAAGAATAATATATATAAATAGTAATAGTAATAAATAGTAATTTGTCTTTTATATATACTTGCTAACAAAACTTTTAAAATTTGCATTTGTGTAAATTTAATTAAACATAAGATTCAATATAAAAGTATATAAATAAAATACCTAGGCCAATAATTATTAATCTGATCAAGTGATTTGGTTGGTTATACACATGGCATGCAAATTTTTATTGTTTTTCAATTTTTAGTTATGTTACAACTAGTGTTTCTAGGTTCAGTTCAGTTCAATTTAGGTTCATGAACTAAGTTCATTGAATCTGAACTAAACCTCAAATTTTGCAGATCATTGAACATGAGCCTGAACTG